ATGCAGCATCAGTTTGGAATCCACACCTAGCCAAGCATGTAAGGAAACTAGATAAAGTGCAAAGGCTTGCAACAAGACTAGTCCCAGAGCTAAGGGGCATGTCCTACGAGGAGATGTTAAGGGAAATCGACATGACGACACTGGAGGATAGGAGAGATGGGGGACATGATAATGACATAAAGCCTCTCCTCACTTAGCGATGTACTCGTTTACCGATGACTCAGACTTACGACGGGCTCTCTGACCAGTATGCATACCTAAATAATGTATATTACTGGGGAGGAGGGGAGGGGTGAGTGAGAAGAAATATTAACATACAAGACGATCACACACTAATACACACTCATCACAGACTACATATACAAGTGACTGGGCTACTAAATTTTAACCCTTAAACGGTCCAAACGTATATATACGTTCACTCAAGTAGCGCCCCAAATTTTTTGAGGAAAAAAAAAATCTTTTCTTTTAAAAGGAAAAAAGAGCATATGGTACCAAGGCATCCCCAATTATTTTAATATGGTGCACAGTGAGTGCGCACACCCATTCTCTCATGTCTAGGTGACTCAGGCTTATTGTGGCAATGTTGAATGAATGACAAAGAAAACGTATATATACGTTTGGGGCGCTACGCGCATGAACGTATATATACGTTTGGACCGTTTAAGGGTTAAGTCCTCCTCTCCACCTTTGTACACTTACTCCTACCAGTGTTTTTGGGACATGGTAAGAGATAATTAGGTATAAGTTGAAATTATATGAATTAGCTGACAAAGATGCTGTAACTTCTATAGTCCTCTTATGTATGTGAATGCAAATTACAAAAAAAAAAAAACTTATGTATCAATGCTTCAGAATACATATAGAAGCTTTAAATGTTAATATATGGAGAGAAAAAGAGAGGTTAAGAGAGTGGTGAAGCAATGTAAAAACAGAGCAAATGAGAGAGTGGGTGAGATGTTATCAACAAATTTTGTTGAAAATAAGAAAACGTTTTGGAGTGAGATTAATAAGTTGAGGAAGCCTAGGGAACAAATGGATTTGACAGTTTAAAATAAGAAAGGAGAGTTATTAAATGAAGAGTTAGAGGTATCGGGAAGACGGAGGGAATATTCTGAGGAATTGTTAAATGTTGATGAAGGTAGGGAAGCTGTGATTTCGTGTATAGGGCAAGGAGGAATAACATCTTGTAGGAGTGAGGAAGAGCCAGTTGTGAGTGTGGGGGAAGTTCGTGAGGCAGTGGGTAGAATGAAAGGGAGTAAGAAAGCTGGGATTGATGAGATTAAGATAGAAATGTTAACCCTTTCAGGGTCCAAGGCCCAAATCTGGAGTCACGCACCAGTGTCCAAGATATTTCAAAAAAAAAATTTGTTATTTTTTCTTATGAAATCGTAGAGAATCTTTTTGTGAAGGTAATAAAACAAAAAGTACGAAAATTGGTGGAAAATTGACGAAATTATGCTCTCGCGAATTTTGATGTGTCAGCAATATTTACGAATCGGCGATTTTGCCGACTTTGACTCCCATTTTAGGCTAATTACATTATTCCAATCAACCAAATTCTTAGCTATTTCACTAGTATTACTTCTATTCTATTGATTGAGCACAAGAAATCGCCAAGTCAACTGTTTCAACTACAAAATAAAGTGATCGGAAATTGTTAATTTGGCCAATTTAACACAAAGTTCAAAATATTCCAATTTCAAAATAGGGTCCAGAATGAACAATGTAGGCATTCCTGGCACTAAACTAACATTTCCTCTGTTCATTAGTTATGTTTTGAGGCTTTACAAATAAATTCCATTTCGATTTTTTATTCACATAATGAATTTTTATTCACACCAAAAAATAGAAGATTTACTGTTATGCAATACTGTAATAATTGTATAAATATCATCACCATATTTGTGAATGTATATTAGACCCACCAGCTGATGTGTATTAGACGTGTGAGGTCGTTTGTTTACTCTTGAATATTGGCAAAAATTTAACATTTCCGCTACTTTGAGCTCAGTTTCAAGCCATTTCCTATGCTAAAACCAATCAAAATTATCTCTATTTCTGTAATATGTCTTCCATTCTATCAAATGAGACCAAGAAATCGCAAATACAACTATAAAAAACATACGAAAAAACACTGCAAAGTTGCTGTTTTAATCGAAAAATCATGATTTCATTTTTTTTCTCTCATTATGCACAGTGTGCTGCAGGATCTGTTTTATGTGGTGCACACATACCACATAGATGTATTCTCTCATATCTAGGCCCAAATGTACCACTCACAGTTTATCAGAGTGAGCTGAGCTCATGGCGTAGATCTACGGTTTGGACCCTGAACGTAAAGCTGTAGATCTACGGGACGGACCCTGAAAGGGTTAAAAGCAGGAAGGAATATAGTTTTGGAGTAGTTGGTGCTATTATTTAATAAATGTATGGAAGAGGTTAAGGTACCTAGGGATTGGCAGAGAGCATGCATAGTTCCTTTGTATAAAGGCAAAGGGGATAAAAGAGAGTGCAAAAATTATAGGGGAAGAAGTCTGTTGAGTATACCTGGTAAAGTGTATGGTAGAGTTATTACTGAAAGAATTAAGAGTAAATAACAAAAAGGCACAATACCGTGACTGGAACGATACACAAATAACCCGCACATAAAAGAGAGAAGCTTACGACGACGTTTCGGTCCGACTTGGACCATTGACAAAGTCACGTGTTGTGAATTAAGAGTAAGACAGAGAGTAGGATAGCAGATGAACAAGGAGGCTTCAGGAAAGGTAGGGGTGTGTAGACCAAGTGTTTACAGTGAAACATATAGGTGAACAGTATTTAGATAAGGGTAAAGAGGTTTTTGTGGCATTTATGGACTTAGAAAAGGCATATGACAGGGTGGATAGGGGAGCAATGTGGCAGATGTTGCAGGTGTATGGTATAGGAGGTAGGTTACCGAAAGCAGTGAAGAGCTTTTACGAGGATAGTGAGGCTCAGGTTAGAGTATGTTGGAGAGAGGGAGATTATTTTCCAGTACAAGTAGGCCTTAGACAAGGATGTGTGATGTTACCATGGTTGTTCAATATATTTATAGATGGGGTTGTAAGAGAAGTGAATGCTAGGGTCTTGGCAAGAGGTGTGGAGTTAAATGATAAAGAATCAAACACAAAGTGGGAGTTGTCAGTTGCTCTTTGCTGATGACACGGTGCTTTTGGGAGATTCTGAAGAGAAGTTGCAGAGGTTGGTGGATGAATTAGGTAGGGTATGTAAAAGAAGAAAATTAAAAGTGATTGTAGGAAAGAGTAAGGTTATGAGGATAACAAAAAGATTAGGTGACGAAAGACTCGATATCAGACTGGAGGGAAAGAGTATGGAGGAGGTGAATGCATTCAGATATTTAGGAGTGGACATGTCAGCAGATGGGTCTATGAAGGATGAGGTGAATAACAGAATTGATGAAGGGAAAAGGGTGAGTTGGGCACTTAGGAGTCTCTGGAGACAAAGAACTTTGTCTGTGGAAGCAAAAAGGGAAATGTTTGAGAGTATAGTTGTACCAACACGCTTGTATAGGTGTGAAGCATGGGTGATGAATGTTGCAATGAGGAGAAGGATGGAGGCAGTGGAGATGTCATGTCTGAGGGCAATGTGTGGTGTGAATATAATGCAGAGAATTCGTAGTTCGTAAATTAGGAGAAGGTGTGGGATTACCAAAACTATTATCCAGAAGGCTGAGAAGGGGTTGTTGAGGTGGTTTGGACATGTAGAGAGAATGGAATAAAACAGAATGACTTTGAGAGTGTATAAATCTGTAGCGGAGGGAAGGCGAGGTAGGGGTCGGCCTAGGAAAGGTTGGAGGAGGGGGTAAAGGAGGTTTTGTGTGCGAGGGGCTTGGACTTCCAGCAAGTGTGCATGAGCGTATTTGATAGGAGTGAATGGACACAAATGGTTTTTAATACTTGACGTGCTGTTGGAGTGTGAGCAAAGTAACATTTATGAAGGGATTCAGGGAAACTGGCAGGCTGGACTTGAGTCCTGGAGATGGGAAGTAAAGTGTCTACACTCTGAAGGAGGGGTGTTAATGTTGGTTTTATAACTGTAGTCTAAAGCACCCCTCTGGCAAGACAGTGATGGAGTGAATGATATTCACATGAAAGTTTTTCTTTTTCGGGCCACTCTGCCTTGGTGGGAATCGGCTGATGTGTTAATAAAAAAAAATATTTTTATTAGCAGGTAGCAATAAAAAAATAACAGCAGCAGTGGCAGCGGCAGCAGCAGGAGTAGCAACAGTACATCTTTGTTGCAACTTACTAGAGGTTAATACAGCATCACTGGCACACACTGCAGTTCAGCCCTTGGACCCATTATATACCTCTGAAATCTTTTGACTACCCACAGGATGGGTATGGGCTGCATAATAAAGATATTAAACTAAATTAACTGGCACACATTTGACAGCCAGTGAGCTGTACTCTCACACTGTGTTGTCACATGCAAATTCTCCTTACATGGGGTCAGGTTATACTACAGTATATGTGGTTATGTACTCTGGGATGTGATGGTGTGAGCTGAGTATGGTGCTTTGGTTAATGGGAGGAATATAAAATGATTCACTGCAGACCCCAGGCTCTTGTTCAATTATATATCTTTCATCTTCACCATGTCTAGCAAATTTGGCTGATAAAAAGAAAAATGTTTAACTTTGATGGGGTCAGAAAAATATTAAGTACAGTGCTGTGTGTGGATGACATACTCAACTGAAAAACTATAGGAGGTAACAAGCAAATGATCACTAACAAAACTGGACAGTGATGGTGTTATGCAGAGAAGAGCAAGTAGAGCAATAATTACTTACCTACAAAATTATGCATGAATCATCAAACAAAAATGTAACAAATACCTTTTTAGGATCTGAGATTACTAAACTGAGAATAATTTCATCTCAATTTATTTGGAGAGAATTTTAGGATATAGGATGGAGATGTGTTAGTGAGGATCACATGTTAATTATAACTCACCAGCCACCCCAGAGAAGAGGGAGCCGGCATGAGGCGATGAGTGAGTTGGGGAGAGAGTGGGAACCATAGAATGGACTGGTGTGTCCAGGAGACTTGTATTCTCACCACAACACCCATCAAAATTTCTCCCATTTGATCCACTATTAAGGCTTGGTCTGGGCCGCGTGTAGTTCACAACAGCCGATGTATTATACAAGTTTTCCCCATTGCTGTTACCTCCATGGGATGCTCCACCACTGCCGTTATCTCGACTCAGGGTTGATGTTCCTCTTGCATTTCGCTTTGCCAAATATGCAGCAATCATCTGAGGTCTGTTATAACACACTTCTGTTAATGAATCTGGTTTACAAAGTAACAAAGTCAACACTAAATCTGTTACTTATAAATATACAGTGTGTGTATGTGCATGAGCAATGAATGTGTGTGTAGTAATAGTAGTTACTGTTAAAAGTACTTGTCGATAGACACTTGGCTTGTTTTGTGTGTGTTCATGTGAATATATGTATTTATTTATTTATTTATTTATTTATTTTATGTCTTTGCAAACAGTACATTGAGATTTTATATTTACAATAGTGGGTTGCAATGCAAAGAGAGCCTCTATTATGCCTAGGCATTATGGGCCAACTTAACATTATTGGCTTACAGTCTACTTAACACTAAGGATTTTATCATAGTTGTACAGTAGGACAGTAATTATTTCATAGTTGAACAGTAGATTATTAATTATAAGTGAATTAAATTTGTATAAGACAAAGAATATATTCATATAGTCTAAAATGCTTTTTGTGAAAATAATGGTTCAATTATATTCCTGTCAACAATGGATAAAAGGTTCAAAGTGATTGTTGAAGTTATGATGTGGGAGTACACAGGTGAGTATGTGTGTACTGAGTATTTAGCATTTAGTCTAGGGTGATTAAGTGGCTTCTGAGAAGAGTCTTAAATTGATTTTCAGACTGGGTTACTTTAATATCTTCTGGTAATGAATTCCATATTTTGGGGCCCATTATGTGCATAGAGTTTTTACACAGTGTGATATGGACACGAGGTATATCGAAAAGAGATCTGTCTTGTGTTGTGGTCATGTGTCCTGTTTAAGTTGGTGAGAAGTAGTTTGAGTGGAGGGTTTATATTTGCGTGTATTGTTCTGTGTATGTAGTAGGCAAATGAATAAGTATGGATGTTCTTAATGGTGAGCAGATTCAGACTTTTGAAAATTGGTGGAGTATGCTGGTGGGAGTGGGAATTCGTTATCATTCTTACTGCTGCCTTTTGCTGGGTTATTAGGGGTTTTAGGTGATTGGATGTTGTTGATCCCCATGCACAAATTCCATATGTAAGATAAGGGTATATGAGTGTATGGTACAGTGCCAGGAGAGCTGATTGTGGAACGTAGTACCTTATCTTTGATAGTATGCCTACAGTCTTGGAGATTTTCTTGGTGATTTGTTGTATGTGTGTCCGGAACTTAACCCTTTCAGGGTCCAAGGCCCAAATCTGAAGTGGTGCCCCAGTGTCCAAGAATTTTCCAAAAAAAATTTGTTATTTTTTCTTATGAAATGGTAGAGAATCTTTTTGCGAAGGTAATAAAACAAAAAGTACGAAATTTGATGGAAAATTGACGAAATTATGCTCTCGCGAATTTTGATGTGTCAGCGATATTTACGAATCGGCGATTTTGCCGACTTTGACTTCCATTTTAGGCCAATTACATCATTCCAGTCGACCAAATTCTTAGCTATTTTACTAGTATTACTTCTATTCTATCGATTGAGCACAAGAAATCACCAAGTCAACTGTTTCAACTACAAAATAAAGTGATCGGAAATTGGTAATTTGGCCAATTTAACACAAAGTTCAAAATATTCCAATTTCAAAATAGCATCCAGAATAAACAATGTAGGCATTCCTGGCACTAAACTAACATTTCCTCGGTTCATTAGTTACGTTTTGAGGCTTTACAAATAAATCCCATTTTTATTTTTTATTTACATAATGAATTTTTATTCACACCAAAAATAGAAGATTTACTGTTATGCAATATTGTAATAATTGTATAAATATCATCACCACATTTGTGAATGTGTATTAGATCCACCAGCTGGCGTGTATTAGACGTGTGAGGTCGTTTGTTTACTCTTGAACATTGACAAAAATTTAACATTTCCGCTACTTTGAGCTCAGTTTCAAGCCATTTCCGGTGTTAAAACCAATCAAAATCATCTCTATTTCTGTAATATGTCTTCCATTCTATCAAATGAGACCAAGAAATTGCAAATACAACTATAAAAAACATACGAAAAAACACTGCAAAGTTGCTGTTTTAATCGAAAATCTTGGTTTCAGTTTTTTTTCTCTCATTATACACAGTGTGCTGCAGGATTTGTTTTATGTGGTGCACACATACCACATAGATGCATTCTCTCATATCTAGGCCCAAGTGTACCACTCACAGTTTATCAGAGTGAGCTGAGCTCATGACGTAGATCTACGGTTTGGACACTGAACGCAAAGCCGTAGATCTACGGGACGGACCCTGAAAGGGTTAAGGCTACTGTCAAGGTGGATACCTAGGAATTTTCCCTCTGAGTCTCGTGACTGATGATCCATTTAGTGTTATGTTAATCAGATCATTTGCAGCTTTGTTTCCAAACTGAATGAAATAGGTTTTATCAGTATCCAGAGTAAGTTTATTAGTCATCATCCAGGCAGATATTTTCTGCAATTCGGCATTGACTGTGTTTGCTAGTATGACTGTGTTTGGGTGGGAAAAGACATATGTAGTGTCATCTGCAAATAATATGGGTTTGAGTAGCTGTGATGCATTCGGTAGATCATTGATGTAGATGAGAAAGAGGAGTGGTCCAAGGACACTTCCTTGTGGGACTCCTACTGTGATTGGTTGGGTGGAAGAGTTCGCATCATTTGCATACACATATTGAGTTCTGTTACTAAGATATGATTTTAGGTAGTTGAGGGAGTGGCCTCTGTAGACAGATATGTATGTATATTTTTTTTTTAACATGCTTGAAATCTCCCACCGAGGTAGGGTGACACAAAAGAGAAAGAAACACTTTCACCATCACTCGTACATAATCATTGTCTTCGCAGAGTCGCCCAGATATGGCAGTTTAGATAGTCACTCCATACAACCAATATCCCAAACCCCTCCTTTAAAGTGCAGGCATTGTACTTCCCATTTCCAGGACTCAAGTCCAGTTAACTGGTTTCCTGGAATCCCTTCAAAAAATATTACCCTGCTCGCACTAACCAAAAGCTTGTCAAGTCCCAAAAACCATTCATCTCCATTCACTGCTATCTAACATGCTTACACACGCTTGCTGGAAATCCAAGCTCCTCGCCAACAAAACCTCCTTTACCCCCTCCCTCCTACCTTTTCCCCTACAGATTTATACATTCTCCAAGCCATTCTACTTTGTTCTATTCTCTCTAAATGACCAAACCACCTCAACAACTCTTCTTCAGCCCTCTGACTAATATTTTTAGTAACTCCACATCTCCTCCTGATTTCCACACTAAAAATTCTCTGCATAATATTTGCACCACACATTGCCTTTAGACACGACATCTCCACTGCCTCCAGCTGCCTCCCCGCTGCAGCATTTACAACCGAAGCCTCACACCTGTCAGTTCCAGCTGCATTACCCTCTTTCATTCTATGTAATGCCTAATGCACCTCCCACATTCTTACATCCTGCTCTTCTTCACTCCTAAAAGATGTTATACCTCCGTGGCCAGTGAATGAAATTACTGCCTCCCTTACTGCATCGATATTTAAAAGTTCCTCAAAATATTCCTGCCATCTACCCAAAACCTCTAGCTTCCCATCTACTAACTTCCCTACTCTGCTCTTAACTGAGAAATCTATTCGTTCCCTAGGCTTTCTTAACTTGTTTATCTCACTCCAAAATTTTTTCCTATTATCAGCAAAATTTCTTGACAGTGCCTCTCCCACTCTTATCATTTGTTCTCCTTTTGCACTCTCTCACCACTCTCTTCACTTATCTTTTACTCTACAAATACTCTGCCTTTCTTATATCACTTCTGCTTTGTAAGAACCTCTCATAAGCTACATTTTTTCTCCTTTATCACACCCTTTACTTCATTCCACCAATCACTCCTCTTTCCTCCTGCACACACCCTCCATTAGCCACAAACTTTTGCACCACATTCTAATACTGCATTTTTAAAACTTTCCCATCCCTCTTCAAACCCCCCACTACTCATACTTGCACTAACCCACCTTTCTGTCAATAGTTGCTTATATCTCACCGTAACTTCCTCCTCCCTTAGTTTATAAACTTTCACCTCTCTCTTACTTTCTGTTGCCCTTTTCCTTTTGCCCCATCTAATTCTTACTCTAACTGAAGCTACAACTAAATAATGATCTGATATATCCATTGCCCCTCTATAAGCATGTACATCCTGAAGCCTACCATCAACCTTTTATCCACCAATACATAATCTAACAAACTGTCTTCATTATGTGCTATATCATACCTTGTATACTTATTTATCCTCTTTTTCATAAAATATGTATTACTTATTGCCAAACCTCTTTCTACACATAGTTCAATTAAAGTCTCACCATTTTCATTTATCCCTGGCACCCCAAATTTACCTACTACTCCTTCCACAACATTTTTACCAACTTTACCACTGAGATCCCCAACCACAAGTACTTTCTCACTAAGTTCAAAACTCCCCACGCACCAACTCAACACTTCCCAAAATTTCTGTCTGTCTCTCTTCTACACTTCTCTCTTCTCCAGTTGCATAAACACTTACTATAACCCACTTTTCACATCTAACCCTTATTTTAATCCACAAAATCATTGAATTTATACATTTATATTCCCTCTTTTCCTGCCAAAACTTATCCTTCAACATTATTGCTACTCCTTCCCTAGCTCTAACTCTATTAGAAACCCCTGGCCTAATTTCATTTATTTCTCCCCACAGAAACTCTCCTGCCCCCCTCAGCTTTGTTTCACTTAAAGCCAGGACATCCAGCTTCTTTTCATTCATAACCTCCACAATCATCTCTTTCTTACCATTCACACAACATCCACAAACAAACATCCCACTTTGACGGTTTTCAGGGATATTTTAATTTACTGCTATTAGGTCTTTAAAATTACCATTCAAGTTGTGTATATTGATACTAGGTGCTCTGCAGACAGGTTGTATTGAGAAAGACAATTTAAAATAAGTCTATGGCTGTTAATTGTGCAGTTATATAATTTCATCTGTAGTACATGTAGATATAACCCTTTCAGGGTCGACA